CCCCAAAACCCCAAAACCCCAAAACCCCAAAACCCCACATAAGTTTTTGGAATTGAAATTAATCTGGAAAGATTAAAATAAGTTACATAAATTCTGGGTTGATTCCGATATCACTGTTTGACTCTATATTAAAGTTAGGTGAGTTTATTTCACAGAATTAGCATACCGAAAGAACTTTCAAAATCTTGAAGCACCAAAATTTCTTTATGTTCTTCTTTCTCTTCGGGTTCTTCTTTCTCTTCGGGTTCTTCCTTTTCTTCTGATTCTTCTTTCTCTTCTTGATCATTTCTCTCGCTGGTCTCATTTGTGTATCTATACTTAAGCTACATGCTTACTTTTTGAAGAACAGGCTGTCTTCTGGTTGGTTATAATCCTGGGAGATTTCCTCTTCTTCCTTGTTCAGCAGCACATCGTAATCCATGATCTCTTGATATAGTTGGATGGAGTACTTCATCTTCTCCAAACTTTGTTGATTGGAGAGTAATGAGTGCCCCATTTTCATAACTTTATTTGTAGTTTTTGAAGGCGCTTTCCATATTATCGTAACAAAATTCGTACACCTTGAATTTGTTGCTTTTGAGGAGTTGAGAGTTATCTAAATCAAGGCTGAAATTTTAGAGCCTACCTGTGCCATTTCAGACCCTATCAGTTTGGTTCCGAACCTCTTTGATCAAGTCAAGGAAAGAATTTGCTATGTCTTTACCTCTTTTTAGCTTGGATTTTAGCTCCATGTTGATGTTCTTAATCCTCTCGAGACATTCTAAGGCAACAGTTTTACTGTTGTCCTTGATGGTAAAGGAGGATGACCCAATACTTATAAGTGTTCATGATTTTGAACTAACAGAGTTCACTTCTTTGATTTCTTCCATATCATTTAGAAACGAGCTTGATTCCCCCATACGGAGGTGGTCTAACTCCTTGCTATTTTTACTATGATTTTCAGTGGCTTGAGAAGTGTTGTTATCATTATTAGATCCCGCAGCTTTATTTTCCTCAGTTTGTTCTTCATGTTCATCTTCACCTCCCTCGTATTGACTAGTTTTCTTAAACTGAGATGGAGTGTTAGGTTTGCTATTTTTATCACTCTTATTTTGAAGTAATTGTTATTATAGAGGAAACAAAGCTATCTGCTTCGTCTCTTTTGTGATTAATTTGAGCCTGCCGTGCTGATGTTATCTATAAATAAGATGAATTCATAAGCTTTATTTAAGAGTTTTGGATACTTACCTTTTGATGAGCATTACTAGCACCAAAGGCTTTGAGAGTTGACTGATGAGCTAGCACAACCATCTTGTGAGAAGCCCTCTCTGCTTTCTTAATTGAAGTCTTTTTTCTAAAGGAAGCCTTTGCTCTAAGTTTATTTCTAAAAGTTAAGCCTATATGTACTGAAGAAACTTCTTTTGCTTCTTTCCAAAGGAGCCTCTTCTACCTTTAGCAAAGGTGCTGAGCCTGGGGAATTTGTTTTCAACCTCGACTATCTCATCAATTTTTCGGTTGGATAATCTCTTGAAGTTCTTCTTATCACTCTCTACAATAATTTTCAGTGATTTCCTGAGGGAAAATTGTGAAATTACCTTTATTATATGAAAATATGTTGAATATTTTAGTCTTGATTCTCTTATTAATCATTGAGCTTTTGATCCTCTTTTTACTATCAATAAATTAGCATAATTACACATTGCTTTTCTTCTCTTCAGCTTTGAGCTTTCTCTTGGCTTCAAGGAAAGGTTTGAGGTACTCATCATACTCATCAGCTCGTTTTAGGATGTACTCCTTCGCTTCTGGAAATTTATTTGACCCTTGTCCTGAAGATTTTAAGAAATCATTGAATGCTATTCTTTCAATTTGGAGAGTGTCTCAGTCCTCAATAGCTACAAGTCCTTAGGCAAGGGTGGCTTACCTATGATGCTCTCCTGTCTCTTTCTGATTCTGATCACATCGGTATCTCCCATGAGGCAAGGCTCATGGATGATACTTTTGGTAGTCATGTTCAAAGCCATGCCAGATACTGTACTTTAAGCCAAACACTTACGGAAGAAAATTACAGAGGAAGCAATCTGACCTTCTTTATAAATAAAAGACTGTTTAATCACTTTGTTCTGAGTGATGAGTGGGAGCAGCTGGAAATAGAACTCATAAGTCTTATCCTGCAAAAATTCTATGTTCTCTATAGCTTCATGGTATATGATCATTCTGATTTCGTGCTGTAGAGTTGATGGAAAATTTTTCATTAAGTGATCAATGTCTATCTTTTTCTTATTATTAGCTAAATCGAGGGTTTTAGAATGATTTTCGTAGTAAGATGCAAGTTGAAGAGCAAGATCATCCGGAATTTTATAGTTTCTCTTCATCTTCTCAATGTAGCCTATGTAAGTGCTGTAAATATTTGCTCTGAGAGATCTGTTACTGAAGACACTACCAACAATGGAAATGAAGAAAGAATAGTAAATAGATCCCACAATAATACAGATAACAATGTATAGTATTTCCGCATGAATTGTTCCTGAAAAATCTCCATACCCAATTGTAGTAATTGAAATAGCAGCGTAGTACACAGAGAAGATATAGATCCTCAATCTGTCCTCTTTCTGCAACCCCTGGTAATGAATCCAGTTCCCTGAATCTGAAGAGTTGAGGCCCATGTAGATCCATAAACATCCAACTACCTGGATAAACACAAGGAGAAAAATGAATAACTTGATAACTCTGGAGAGATCTCCTTCATTCTCTCGGTTCATCTTCTTCAGAAAACTATCTAGTGAAGAGAAAAAGACATGAGACTTCAATGCTTTGATGATATAAATAATTCTAATCCATTCAAAGTCAGGGTCATCATAAATCGGAGTGAAGTACAATACAGTAAACTGAGGAAATAAGGCTAATATATCATAAACAAAGGTAATCCGCTTATACTTATTTTTCATAGGCTTGTAGTACAGAATGATGATATCCAGAATGAAGATCAGCTCAGTCAAGATATTAAATGTTATCCAAAACCAGTTGCCTCTGATCATATCGAATGCGCTAATCGGGAGAAGGATTATAATATAAACACCTCAGAGGCATATAAGTCCATCCCAGAAGTGAATAAACCAGTTGCCTTCCCATAAGAATCTTTGAAGCCTAGTCATTTTCTCTATTTTCTGTCTTTCTTTAATTCTTTGTGCTATGTCTCTTTTGACCTCAATTTTAACGGCGCTTTTACGCTTTATTAGCTCATTTCCTAGTTTCATTCAGAATCAACTAATTCAAAATAATTATATTATTTAACATCTGATTCTCTGGGGTTTTGGGGTTTTGGGGTTTTGGGGTTTTGGGGTTTTGGGGTTTTGGGGTTTTGGGG